TATTTAGCATTAATTTAATAATAATAGTTAATGAAACATAACAATTGAGTTTTATTAATTCAGGTTGAAAAGGTAGGCTGTTCTATAATTTGATGGTTTTATGGATATTTGACCATATGTTTGAGTGAAATGATAACGGGTAGTTAACTTTAGATTATTTACATAACTATTAATAATAGTTGGTAAATAATTGAAATAAACGGTCAAAGTGATAAAATTGAAATAAATTAAAATAAAAACAATAATAATAAAAATATTGCCAACAGCTATATTAAAGAAATAATAATAAGATCAACGCTTAAATATTTATTATGTAATAATTTTTTTTTGGCTGTCCAAGTAGCTTAAACAAGACCCTAAAAGGTGGTGTTATTAAGGAGCCGAAACTCCGCGTATGATCCTCTTAAGGGTTTATTTGCCACACAGCTGAAGAAGAGCAGCGCCAACCTAATGGTTTATCTCTATTTAACGTCCGGATTGGACGGATCGCTTTGAGGTTTCTGGACGTAGAAGGTGACAACAAAAAAGCGACTACGCCAAGAACCTCAATCGACTGTCACGGTTTCGATCTTGTGCTGTTTCTGCTTTCTAACAACACCGTAACCAATTGAGATATGATCCGGAGCCGAAATAAGAACAAATACTACACTTGATCGAGAAGCGATGTAATAAATACTACTAAGTAGTAACTAATAATTATTAATAGTAGTTATGGTATTAACAACATAACAACATATATAATATAAATATAATAATATATATATATTTAATAATATATATATATATATATATATATATATATATATATATATATATATATATATATATATATATATATATTATACATATATATATATATATATATATATATATATATATATATATATATATATATATATATATATATATATATATATATATATAATATATATATATGTATATATATATATATATATATATAATATATTGAATATATATATATAATATATTGAATATATATATATATAATATATTGAATATATATATATAATATATTGAATGTAGAATCTTTTTTCAATATATATATATATATATATATATATATATATATATATATATATATATATATATATATATATATATATATATATATATATATATATATATATATATATATTGAAAAAAGATTTTTGATCAGCGTAAAAGTTGTACCAGTCAACTTTTTAAGTTCAATGATATCAAACTTAACTTCTGAGAGTTTTAAGTTCATTTTTCAAAATAATAAAAAAAATCTTATTACGCATACAAAAACTTAAAAATTTATAACCAATTTTTTTTTATCAAAAATAAAATTTGATATCATCTTACTCAGAAAAGTGTTCTCTACAACGTAATTTTAAAATATTTGCAAAAAGATTATTTGATAATTAATTAAGAGTAAAAGAATAAACATTGTCATACCTATTTTATTCTAAATCTCAAGTGACCAATAAATCTCTAACTATAAATTTATTGTATTGAAAAAATTATTTCAATGAAATAATTTTTTCAATACAAGGTTTTGATTAAATTAAGTCTCAAGTGACCAAGCTATCTCTATAAATTTTGTGCATAAATTTCAAATGGATTATTGTTAAATCTATTTTAATATAAAATATGCCTCGAAAGAACTTGCATGCAAAGAAAAAAGAAAAACTATACACCGAAGAGCAAGTTGCGCTTGCGGTGGTTAAAGTACAAAGCGGTAAATTTTCACTTAAAAAATCTGCTAAATGATTCAGCCCTTCACAGGCGTGTCCACGGTATAGGTGAAATAATTGGCAGTGGTTCAAGCACGAGGCTGAGCATCAGAGCCACAGGCAATATTTCATCACTCAGCCGCTTTTTGCACACAAGAAATAGTAGCAAAGTATTTCAATACACCCCAAAGAGACTTTAACGTAGTACACGCTCGTGGAAAGTGTGGAGTTTTCCTTCACACCGGTTTGTAGCTATCACTCCAAGACACAAGTGTGGAGTTATTTTGCACACTTTTGTGGAAATTAACTTTTTCTAACCCGACTTCTGATCAGAAGTGTGGAGTTATTTGCACAAAAGTGTGCACAATAACTCCACATTTGTGTCTAGGAGTCATAGCTACACACAGGTGTGGAGGAAAGCTTCACACTTTCCGCAAGTATGTAGGTATCAACAAAAACACTCCATGTCATTTGTGGAATTTTGATTAAATTGGCTTCTCTGGTGATCAGGGTAAGCAAAATATAGTTTGCCGGCGTGGTGCAAAATAATTGATTTTTAATGCTGCTGGTAATCGCCTTGCTCGTTCTTCACATATTCTGCAGCCACTAAATGTCAGTGTTTATTGCCATGTCAAAAAACTTTGGCGCAAATTACTTCAACAGTTTTATGCAGAGACAAAGTTCAGCAACTTATCAAAAGAAAGTTTTAGTCACCTGCAAAAAAAACTTTTCAGCTCTGGTGAAATTTTTACACGTACCTAAATAGTTATTGGGTTTCAGAATACTGGCTTGTTTCGACTCGACATCAATAAAATTGATCAGTCAAAGTTTCAAATTGCTAATACATTTGAAACACCGTCATCTGAACCTGAGAATCTATTATCTCAACAATCAGAATCTATGATAGTACAATCCCCAATACTAGCACTTGGAACTACACTACCTCAGCCACTGCCCTCTGAACCTACACCAACATCTAGCATCAGCATATGTTACACAACATCAGATTCGAAGTCACCTCAAAAACCACCGTGTCTGCAAACAACCTTCAATATTGTAGTAACTCCGGCTATTCAAAAGTAAATTCACAAAGAGATTGAAAAACAACTGCAATCAGCCCACTCACTTGCAGCAGCTTTGCAACAAATGTTTCGTATCCAACACGTTGACACAAAAAAAAGAAAAAATGTAGATGTGCCAATATTCAAAGCGGATTGTCTTAACAAATCTGAAATACTTGAAATGTTGAAAGATACTGAGAGCAAAAAAGAGGCAAATCAAGCTAAAAAACAACGTAAGGTTAACTTTAATGGCGAACAGCAAATAAACCAAGCAACAAGTCCAACGAAAATATTAGCTGTAAACCAATTAAAATGTAAAAAATGCCGAAGTTTTAGGCAAAGCTTCAGCAAGTCAAAATTTGGAATGGTACCAGTGTAAAAATTCAAATTGCAAGGTTTGGCTATGTCAAACATGCACACCAAAGCGATACGTAAAAGTCGCTGAGTTTTATTCCTCCAAAAGGTGCTGCACAACTGAAAACTCAACTCAACCTCTAGCACCCCTAAACAACTTAATATCATCACAAAAATAAAAAAGTTTTAATTGGTTTTTTAATTGTTTTTACTGATTGTTTTTTAATTGTTATTATTGATTCATTTTGTTTTTTTAATAAAGTGTTGTTTTAATTACACTTTATTTCATTCCCCCCGAATGTCAGTGTAGAACGGAATAAATTTTTTTTAATCAATTAAAGCTTTGTAAAAAATTTAAAAAAAGAATATTTGCGTTTTATATAATTAAATACAACTCAATATTCTCCTTACTTTTCAAGCTCAATATTCTCTAAACTAAAAATCTTTTTTCCGTAAAAAAATAAGTTAAAATCCTTTTATTCCATTTGACGCCATTTTACTCTATATGTTTTTGTCATTTCTCGTTTGTTTTTTTGAATATTGCGCTTGCTAAATTTTATCTAGAGTCTCACTGAAATCAATCTTGCATTTTTAATTGCTTTGACCTGTTAGTCTCGGCCATGTGTTTAAATTTTTTAAATTGCCTTCGAGTCTTTTGGTGAAGTGTTACAACATTTGATTTTTAAGTTGTCGTATTATAGTCCTGACTCAGTCTTCACAATCAACGAACATAATGAAATATCGTTATATTTTTTGATTATGTTGCTGAGATGAAGGTTATTAATGAGTCTTCTACTAAAAACTTTAAGAACTTGCTATTGACATTGAATTGGGAAAAGGTCTACCGAAATAGTAACCTTGCAAACAAACTCTGCTTACAACAAATATACAACAATATCTTTGTAGATATTTTCTGCTCGCAATATAATGGTAGTTTTCTAATTCAAATAAAGATAAATGAAAGTAAAGTATCTAAATTATCCATGGATCAAAAAAGAAAAAAATGATAAATTGAAAGTTTTCGGGGAGATACGTAACTTTATTTTCTAAATAATTTTTAAAACGTTTAGATGGATAACGAAAGATATTATACTAATTTATGTTTTATTTGATTATTAATTGGTTGACTTATACTCTGGTTATTGCGTTATTGTGAACAATATATTGTTTACTTCCTTTTAAAATAATTCTAACTCAGTTTTTTTTTCATAACTTTTTTTCGATATAAATTATAGTTGAAATTGTTTTGTCTATAAAAGTAGTTGAAGTAGTTATTTAAACGCGTTTTCGATAATTGAATCAGCATTTTTTAAAAGGGCGGATTTGTTTAAGAAGTTTTGAGCAAATCCGCCCATTTTAAAAAATCCGCCCCATTGAACCTCTAGATGCTTTATTTTTCAGGATTTATTTTAAAATTCGTTTCTTATTTAGCGTTTTATTTATTCAACTAAAAAAATACCCATTTTAAAAGTGAAAATATATAAATATATTAGTAATATAAATAGTTAAATATAAGAAAATAGTGAAAAATTTTGCTTTATAATACTTATCTATAAAAACAAATATTTCTTTAAAAATATATTTTTTAAATATATGTTTATATACATATATATATATATATATATATATTATATATATATATATATATATATATATATATATATATATATATATATATATATATATATATATATATATATATATATATATATATATATATATATATATATATATATATATATATATATATATATATATATATATATATATATATATATATATATATATATATATATATTTCTTATAAAGTATTTTCACAAAAAGTATATCTTTATAAATAAACGAAAGCACTTTGGTCAGATAAAAGCTAAGAATATCAAAAGAGTAAAAATAAAGCACACTGAAAAAGTCCAAAAAATATTAAAGTTTTTTGCGTTAGACATAATCTAAAATTTAAATTTATATTTAAAAAAATAAAAATAATCTGTATAATCTATTTTTTGAGAGAACATTTTTATATCGATATTTTACGAGGTTGCTTAGGAACGGTAAGTAAATTATTTAGACTTCCTAGTTTAATTGCAGAGATTTTTTCACTTTCAATATTTAAAAGTTTTAGTATTGATGTAATATCCTTTTTTGCCTTTTCAAAATTTTCCAACCAATTTCTTATTTGATCTATTTTTTTTTCCTCTTTATTGGTAGTTAAACTCAGGTTCTCCTCTTTATTGGTAGATAAACTCAGGTTTTCCTGTTGAAAAAAATTTTTTCCGTTATGATCATTAGAGTGATCTGTTACATAAATAGAATGACTAGGAAATAGATTTATGTTAGAAACCAGCTTTGGAGCGGCGAGGTTGTTGAGTTTCCTATAACCACTAATAGTAGAGTCATTGCTAATAGCTGAACCACTACTGAATATACTATCGTCGTTCGTTTTTTTTAAACTCTCTACATTAAAAGAACTCTGTCTTTTTAATAGTTCGAGTACATTTTGTCGTTGTTGGTTGAGATTACACAGCGAGCTACTAAGGTCTTGCTCTTCAAGCTAGTCAGCATAAAGTATATATATATATATATATATATATATATATATATATATATATATATATATATATATATATATATATATATATATATATATATATATATATATATATATATATATATATATACGTGTGTGTGTGTGTGTGTGTGTGTGTGTGTGTGTGTGTGTGTGTGTGTGTGTGTGTGTGTGAATATATATAAATGTCTGTATATATATATATATATATATATATATATATATATATATATATATATATATATATATATATATATATATATATATATATATATATACATATATATATATATATACATATATATATATATATATATATATATATATATATATATATATATATATATATATATATATATATATATATATCATAATTACCGCAATTTTCACCGCGAACGGACGTGTTATCTGAGGTACAGAAAGCTGTCAAGTTTATAAGTAAAAGCTATGATAAAATAATAATTGAACTTACAGAATTAAAAAAAACAGAGTCTAAAAAATCACCAGATCAAAGTAGAAAAATATTGAAAATAATAATATTGAAAATAGCAGAACTAATATTGAAAATAGCTGAACTAGAAGACAGAAGCCGTAGAAACAACTTGAAATTTATTGGGATTAAAGATAAAGCTAATGAAACTTGGGAAGAAAGTGAGCAAAAAATCAAAGACTTTCTCAATACAAAGCTTAATGTACAAGAAAAAAATTTAATTGATAGAGCCCATCGAGTTGGAAAAGAAAACGGAAAAAACAGATCAATCATTGTTCGATTTCAAAACTACAAAGACAAAGCCCTAGTGTTAAACAAATATACGACGATGAAGCTATGGAACGAACGGTTGTACGTTAACGAAGACTTCAGCGATTTTACAATGATTTACGAAGAAAGCTTTTCAAAGAAGCGAAAGAATTGAGAGCGAAAGGTAAGTTTGCTAAAGTAGTTTACAATAAATTAATTACGCGCAACCTATAATTATAAAGGAATTCTTTTAATATTCTATAATTAAATTTAAAAACAAAAATGGATGACTAAGAATCCATTACTTTTAATTTTCATGATAAGTACTTAAAATCAAATTTTAATTCAGATCCAGATGTTAACTTTTTAAATGATGTGAACACATGTTGTTCTTATTTTTGTCCCAACGAGTTAAAAGAATTTTTTAATAAAAATGGCACTGAAAATCAAAAAATCAGAATCCTTCACATTAATATTAGAAGTCTAAATAAAAATTTTGAAAAGTTTTGCGATTTTTTAGATGAAACTGAAAATATTTTTAACAATTTGCTTCACAGAAACGTGGATTTCTTTGAATGATTTTAAAAATAATTCTATTTTCCATCTTCCAGGTTTTGAAACAATTTTATTAGAAAGACAAACAAATAAACGCGGTGGAGGAGTTCTGATTTACGTTAAGGAACACATTGCACATAACATTAGGAATGATATGCGCGTTTCTGACGGTGATAAAGAAATCGTAACTATTGAAATTTTAAACAATAAAAAAAATAATATTCTATTAAGCTGCTGTTATAGACCACCTGATGGTGCGTCTGAAAATCTTAGTTTCTTTTTACAGCAAAATATCATTCACAAAGGTAGCAAAGAAAACAAAATTACTTTTATAATTGGAGATTTCAACATGAACTCTTTAATTTATAATAAAGATAAAAAAATAAAAAGTTTTTATGATGAAATACTTATGGCAGGAGCTCTTCCTTTAATTAATCGCCCTACTAGAATATTTTTACAACAAATATTTATAATAGGAAATTAAAAAAAGGAATTATAAAAACCGACATATCCGATCATTTCCCCATTTTTGTAACAATCCATACTGTATCCTCTAATAACCCCGAAAGACAAAATATAATAAAAAAACGTGTCTTCAATGAGAGCAATATAAAATCCTTCCAATATCAATTATCACTCCTGCATTGGAAACATTAACTTTAATGAAGATATAATAAATTCTTTGATACGTTCTTCTCAGTATACGATACAAACTTTCCACTTTGTGAAAAAATAACAAAAATAAAAACCTTAAATAGTCCATGGATTACCAGAGGACATAGAAAATCCTCTAAAATCAAACAGAAACTATATATAAAATATCTAAAAACAAAATCAAATGAAAACCAACAAAAATATAAAAATTATTAACATTTATTTGAAAAAATTCGTAAAAAATTAAAAAAAAATTATTATTCAAATTTAATAAGTAAATTTAAAAACGACTCAAAAAATACTTGGAGAACGTTGAAAGAAATAACAGGAAAACAAAAAACAAATTCAAACTCCCTTCCTAAAGTAATTAAAATAAATAAAACAAATATATATGAACCAAACGAAATTGCAAACGAGTTTAATAAATATTTCATTGACATAGGAACCAAATTGGCAAACAAGATCCCTATTACAGAAAAAAATTTTAGTGTATTTCTAGAGCCTATAAATAATTCGCTTTTTATAGATAATTTACATTCTGACTTATCTTTTGATGAGTTTGAAAGAGCTTACAAATCTCTCAAAAGAAACAAATCTACGGGTGCGGACGAAATAAATGCCAACATAGTCATAGATTGCTTTGAAAACCTAAAATGTATTCTTTATAAAGTCTTTAGGGCATCTATACAGCAAGGTATATTCCCCAACCAATTAAAAATAGCTAAACTAACTCCTATATACAAAAACGGAAAAAAATCAAATATTAGTAATTATCGCCCTATCTCAGTTCTTTCAACTTTCTCAAAAATTTTAGAAAGAATATATACAATAGAACATACGATTACCCTAAATAAACTTCTATATAAAAATCAATTCGGTTTTAAAAAAAATTGCTCAACTGAACAAGCCATTACACAGTTCATTCGTGAAATCTCCAATTCATTTGGTAGATCACAATATACATTAGGTATTTTCATTGACCTATCAAAAGCATTCGACACGGTCGATCACAAAATTCTACTTAAAAAACTCAAACTTTACGGAATTAATGGCAAATTAATAAAATGGTATAAAAGTTACTTGAAAAATAGAAAACAATTTGTTTTCTATGGAGATTATTTTCAAAATGAAAATTTAATTGACATAAAATGTGGTGTTCCACAGGGTTCTATTCTAGGCTCACTTTTGTTTTTAGTTTATATAAATGATTTAAATAAAGCTTCTAACCTTATGATTATAATTTTTGCGGACGATACTAGTTTATTTCTGTCAAACAGTGACTTTTATGAGCTTTTTTCAAATATGAATAAAGAACTCAATCAGATCTCCAACTGGTTTAAGTGCAACAAGTTAACTTTAAACATTGACAAAACATAATGGATCCTTTTCCACTCTCTTGCAAAAAAGCGTTTTTTACCAAATAAATTGCCTAATCTTTTTATTGATAAAATTGAAATAAAAAAGGAGTCGGTCACAAGATTTTTAGGCATTTACATTGATGAAAATATTACATGGAAGTATCATATCGACTATAATTCTACTAAATTGGCTAAAATTATTGGAATTCTATATAAGGTCAGATACTATCTAAGTAAACAAAATTTAATTCAACTCTACTACTCATTTATTCATAGCTATATAAATTATGCAAATATTGTTTGGGGAAGTAGCTCTAAAAGTAAGTTACGAAATCTTTACCATCATCAAAAACACGCAATGCGTTTAATATGTTTCGAAAATCATATTTCACATTCAAATATTTTATTTAAAAACGTTAAAGCACTTAACGTTTACGAGCTCAATGTCTATAATATTTTATATTTTATGTTTTGTTGTAAAAGTGAACGACCATTGTCCAATTTCAAAGATCTTTTTACTTATAAAGCTATAAACAAATATGCTTTACGAAATAATAATTTATTAATTGTCAAACAAAGTTTAATCAATTTTGCATAAACTATAGAGCACCATATTTATAGAACAAAATTGTTGTTCCGAATTTTGATTTGTCAATTTCGTTTTCCGTTTTTAAAACTAAATTAAAAAACTATTCTTTCTACTGGCAATATATATAAATATTTTTGAAATGTAAAATTCTTTTTTTCACTATTGATAATTTGTAAAATTATTTTCAGTTTTTGTTTCTTCTACATTGTTAATAGTTATTTGATCAATTGTATTTTTATTTTATATATACACGTATGATATATTTTATATGGTTCTGGCGACAAGATCATTTGGATCTTCTTTCAGATACCAAGTTTATATATTGTTATATTGTTATATTACGATTAATAATTGTAAACTGAAAAAAATATATATATATATATATATGTATATATATATATATATATATATATATATATATATATATATATATATATATATATATATATATATATATATATATATATATATATATATATATATATATATATATATATATATTTATATATAAAGCGTACACACACACACACACACACACACATACACACACACACACACACACACACACATATATACATGTACCAGTGTACCTTTTGTATTGCATATCGTGATAAAAAATTTCTGAAAAATATTAAAGTCAGAAATTTTTAGAAATTTTGAAATTTTTCAAATAATTGTGCAAAAAAAAAGTGATTTTCACGTACCCTGAAAAACGGTCAAGCATTATTATTTGCAAAGACGTATTATTAAATTATGATAGCATTGTCAGGGATTTAATTTTAAAAACAAATAAAAATACATAAAATATCTCAATTAAATGATTTCTAAGAGGATTAAATAGATTATTCTCTGCGATTATATCTTTATTACATAAACATAAATTAGTGAGTTTAAAAAAAAAAATTTTAAACTTTCCAAAAATTTTGAGCAATTGAATATTTTTCTAGATGTTTTCTGGAACATTATTAAAAAAATTTCTAAAAAAATCTTCGAAAATTTTTATCACTTATTGCATGCAATAAAAATTAAATTTTAAATAGAGCGTTTACAAAGTATTTTTATTAGTACTGTGTAACAAGCACTTACTTCTAAATCTCTCAAATTGAACGAAACTTGAAAGTTTTTATTAAACTTTTTATGAAATTCAGGATAAGCCCGCATAATGGATAACAAATCATCTCGTGAAATAGATTGAATATCACAATATGTAAGAGCACATACACTCGCACACGATTTACCAATAAGACGATTGTAAACTAATCCAAAGTTTTCGCCGAAGGAATCACATTTACCTAAAAAGAAAAATAAATTTATAAAATGTAAAAACTAAAAATGTTAAGATTAGTAAAACTTTTAGTTTAATTCTTACATTTATTTGTTTTAGAGTATTATAAAATTACATTTATTTTTTTTTAGAGTATTATAAATTATAAAATCTTGAAAATTTTTTATAAAAGATATTCAACTGTTTGTGCGTGAGATCTTAATTTGACAGCAGTTTCAGAAATCTGTCATACTATTTGGAATTAAATTTGAGTGGTTTTGACTGTTTTATTGACGTTATAAGTCGCCGCTCAAATAATTCATAAATTTTGTTGTCTTTTTAGATACCTATCCCCTTCCCTCCGTGTGACATTTTTAATATAGATTTTTCAAGGAACTATCAAAGTAGTTTTATATGTGTAAAAAATACAACTGTTATAATTCCGTTCTTTAAATAAAGGAGTTGTTTTTAAATGATTTTTGATGACCAGTGGTGTCAACATCTTCCAAGTCACACAAATCAGTTTTTTTTTGTCAGAATTAAAAAAAATGCGCAAGGGTTTAATGTTGAGTAACTAGACAATAACGTTTTTTAAACATTATTTAATATGTCACTCCGTTAGCAAACTGCTTTGCTTTGTTTTATTGGCTTAATAGTGGCAAAAATAAGCTCACAACTAATGTAAATTCATTTTGGTAAAAAACTTTGATTGAACAAGCGGAAGTATAACTTAGATTATAGTCTATTAGAGCTACTTTTTTTTAAACCCAGTTAAAAATATTTTTACCAGAAGCATTTGCGGCCAAAAACATTGCACCAAGGACATGCTCTTTTATCTTGGCATGTTTCATTATTTTTTTATTTCTTGAATTTTTATCTGCCTCATTATCATCATTTATTATCATGACTTGTTTGCTAACTTCATTTTCAGCAAATATTTTATCTTTTAAATGATCTTAAAGATTTATATTCTACACTTCTGATTGCTATTCTGGATAGGTTAGAGTATGTGACTGCTTGTTTTTCAATGCAATCTTTCATGATTTCAATGGCTGCATATAATGGTGCTCCTTTTGCAACTGTCAATCCAATGGGCATCGTGGCATCATCGTGCTTGCTAAAAATCTGTAATGTGCATAACCATGACAGCTTTTTAGTTAGCGATATCGACTATCTATTGTTTTATGGTTATGTTTTTAGTTAGCGATATCGACTATCTATAGTTTTATGGTTATGTTTTTAGTTAGCGATATCGACTATCTATAGTTTTATGGTTATGTTTTAGCAAATTACAAAGCTGCAACAAATAGAAAAAAATAGTCTAGAATATTCAGAACAACATTCTAGAATGTTAAGAGTAATATAGAAATCAATTACCTAACACAAATACAACTTTATCTCCTTGCCATACCTCCAACGTACCACGCTCTATCCACATTAGATTAACAATTTCATCCCCGTAATGAATAACATAGTTACCGGGTGTATATCTAGTTGTTTTCAATTTAAGAGATAATGACCGTAAACAACCAGGGGATACACCGCGAAATGCTGGGCTTCTTACAAATAGGTGTCTGTTTAAATGAAGGCAGACATCTGCTTGGAGACCTTCTGGAAAATGCTTCAATACCTTAATTTAGGTCAAAACATTAATATAAAATGTTTATCAATTAACGCACATATACATTTAAATGCATATAATACATATATATATATATATATATATATATATATATATATATATATATATATATATAATATTTATATATATATAATATTTATATATATACACATATATATAATATATATACACATATATATATAATACACATGTATATAATATATATATATATATAATACATATATATATATATATATAATATATATAAATATATATATATATAATATATATATACATATATATATATATATATATATATATATATATATATATATATATATATATATATATATATGTATATATATATATATATATATATATATATTTATATATATATATATATATATATATATATATATATATATATATATATATATATACATACATATATATACATACATATATATATATATATATATATATATATATATATATATATATATATATATATATATATATATATATATATATATATATATATATATATATATATATATATATATATATATGTTAATAGAGAAGAAAATATAGTTAAAACTTTAGAACTCAGTCCACAAACCTCATTCATATCAATACCATTAGTATAAGAGTAATCATATTGAGAGTAATCTTCCAATCGCTGACGTAAAGGGGATGGTATTCGATAGAAGCGAATAAACTGTCGAACTCGACGCATAGTTGAATGATAATGAGCCATACCTGAATACAATCTGTGGATAATCGCAGTGACATTGCCAAATATGATAGCATACATGAGAGCTAAACGAATTTAAAAAAAAAAAATTTAATTGATAAAACTTAATGCAACGCTACACTAAAGAACCAAATACCATATCTCCAGAAAAACCTTACCTCCTAAAATTTCTTACTTTCCAAAAAACCTTAGAGGTCGTCAATAAACTACGTAATCCAAACTTTCTCAATAAACAAAAAAAAAAGATCAAAAGTTTTCCTTTGAAGTGTCTTAATTTAAATAAAAAATCAAAGTAGCGCATTTAAGTTTAATGAAAACCGCGCGTAAAAAAGCCTAGTATGTCTAGTTTTTTTTTTTTTATATATTTTGCGTTGCGTAATTTATGAACAATCCCTTACCTCCCAAAAAACCTTACCTCCTAAAATTTCTTATTTCCCAAAAAAGTAAAACTCGTAAAAAACCTTACCTTCCAAAAAATCTTACCTCCCGATAATCTTTCCTAACAAAAACCTTACATCCCAAAAAACTTTACCTCCTAAAAGCATAATTAGTATTGCAAACAATTTTTCTCTGTTAGTATTTGCAGAGATATTTCCAAAACCGACACTAGTCATACTGCTCAGTGTAAAATACAACGCCGTTAAATAAGAAGTTGAAATGTCAAGCTCAAATTCCGTTTTGTTAATTGTTTTATTAAAATCTTTAGTAAGCTTTAGTAACCAACTTTGACTATTTTTTAATGAGTTTTCGTAAGCTCCAATAGCATACCAAATACACGCTAACCAGTGAGCTATTAACGCAAACCCAAAAAGGAGAAGTAATAATAGTGCTACGTTATATTCAAAATACATGTCTAACTTGCGTGTAACTCGGACCAATCGCAGTAAGCGGGCTGACTTAACTAAGCTGATTAAAGTAGTGGTCTAAGAGAAAAAATACAAATTATATTAATATAAATATTTTTGATTTGAGTCATAACTAAGTTTAGTTTTCATTTTATTTGAGAAAAAAAAATTTAAAAATATGGTTATATTGATACCATAGACAAAATGCGCGTAAAAACTTCATTGTAGAAAACGCAAAACATTCGAGATGTAAACTTTGTAAATTTAATACAGGAACCTCCTGGCATGAGCTAGCTCTAAATTCCCTTTATAATTTTTTTTTCAAACCAAGTACTATACCATATATTTAAATAGCAAAAATTATGTAAATACCTGATTAACATGCGATATTACGCATAGTAATTGAAACGGAAAAGCAGCTAAGAAGTCCAAAATAAACCATCCCTTTAAATAATTTACAGCAATCCGGCAAGAATCATAAACAACCTAAAAAAAAATTTTCTAAAAATCGAACTACTTTTTGTTACATCTTTAATTGAAGCAGTGAGTGTAATTACCTCATCATTTGAATCCACAAAAGATGTCCGAAAATTTATAATTATATCAATAACAAACATAATATCGACAATATTTTCAATAATATACAACGATCTGTTTGTAGCTGTGCATGATTTCGGAGAAAGCACAAAAGTCACCATGAAGGGAATTACAATCGCCGTGTACATGACCAATAATAAAATAAACCAATCCCATATTGCTTTAAGTCCAGAATAATGAAGAATTATATAAGAACGGCCTTTTTCTTGAAAAAGTTTGTACTGTGGCAGAATGTCTGAGCCCAAAAACATTACCTAAGTTTAAATAAACTATCATTGTCAAAATATTATCATAAATTAGCTGAGTTTAATCGCTAAGTTTTAAAGACTGTTTTTGGCGCATAACTATTGTATTTAAATATTTTTTTAATAAGTGTTGCTAATTTGTCATTCAGACCATTTTACGACATTAAATATTTAATTCCAAAAATATTATTAAGTGGTATTGTTGAGTTACATGTCAAAAATAGACAATATTTTGCTTTGCCTAATATAAGATTATAAACGATAAAATATAAAATATAAAAGATAAAACTCGCTATGTTGATTTTTTTTTAAAATAAAATTTAAAAATAATGCGTAAAACATATTGAAAAACTTTATAATAAAATGAATTGACAGCGTGAAAATTAAAATTTTTTTTTATAAAACTACGTAATAAAACTACGTTATAACTGTTAAAAAAAAGCAGGTGATTTAACGAAATATATGTCTATTTAAAAAATTTAAAATAAAGTTCAAATATAAAAGATTATTTATTTAAAATAATTATAACCGATTACGGTTTATAACAATATTAAACGCCAAATAATGAACATACGAAGTAACTTGAACTTTTTTAATAAATTAATAACTGTAATTTTTTCAGTGTTAATAAAACTCATTCAGTGTTTAATAAAAAATAAGTCACTATTTTAATTGGTTACATATGGTCAAGTAATATATGTCAAATAATTATAATTACCAAGATTTTTAAGTCTTTTTATATTTAAACATTTAAATATTTCAAGTCAAAAGTTTAAGTCAAAACACTTTTTAAATTTTGGTGTAAGTTACCTAGTTTTTTGGGTGAACATTACCCAGTTTTTTTGGTGTATGTTCCCTAGTTTTACGGTATAGTAATGTTACCTTATTTTATTAACGGCATTTTCACGATATTTAACAAAATTAAAACAGCATTAAGATTACGACAATAACAACAGTAAAGAAAAAAGTTTAAATATACTAAAGTTTAAAAGTTTTTCGTTAAAACTGCAAATTATAATTTAAAATGGTATATTTATGTCTACTTTTGAAAATTTAAAAGCATTTATAGTTCTTAATGACATTGTCCTACATAAATTTATTCAATACTATAGAACCTACACGTGTCATTTCGACAGAAATTTTCCTTTTGCGTGTCACATGTCTTCGTGGCTTTGTATTTTGGTTTACCATCATCAGTTTTTTTATTTTATCGAATCTAGTAAAAATACAATCGTAAATTCAATACAATGTTTACACTTCAAGTATAAAAAACGATTTAATCATATAATCAACTTCTAAAACAGTATTCAAAACGTATACATAAAATTATTTATTAGGTTTTCTATATTTAACATATTACTTTGTTTCACCATATGACTTTATTGAAAACGTTAGCATATTTAATTGAAAACTCATGAAATCAATATATAGGTCTTTATCTCTCAATCTTTATTTTGCATCTAAGGTTTAACAAAATACAAAATATAATAAATAATAATAATGATGCATCCGTCTTTAATACATACATACATACATACATACATACATACATACATACATACATACATACATACATACATACAAACATAATATATATATATATATATATATATATATATATATATATATATATATATATATATATATATATATGCAGATATACTTTTATAAAAAGTATATATACTTAAATATATAATCTTTATAAAACGTATATATATATATATATATATATATATATATATATATATATATATATATATTTATATATATATATATATATATATACTATATATATATATATATATATATATATATATATATATATATATATATATATATATATATATATATATATATATATATGTTATTTAGCTTTGAATCCTCTTCCTTCTCTTTCTATTATATTTTTAAAAATAAGATACAATTTTTTGGAAATCACCAGTTATATGTATAACAAGTGATATATGGTGAAGTAACTTAAAGATATTGAGTTTTCTAAATTAAGTTATGCAATTAAATTTGTTATTTGGAAAATTATTATTATTTAACAAAAAAGCACCAAAATAGAAGCTTTTTAGTTTAAACAAATTGTTTATCAAATATAAAAAAAAACAGAACAAAATAGTTCATTGTATTGATAAAAAAGAATCATTTTCAATAAAAATTGATATAACTTCCATGGTTATAATATTGTATAAGAAACTTTCCCGTTATCTAAATATAAAAAGAAAGTCAATTCAAAGTAATACAAAACAAGTTAGAACTTTAAATAATATACAAAAAGAAAAATAAGTTCAAAAAAAAAAAAACTAAAAACTTATTATTTTTAATTGACTTCTTAGTGAATACATAAACTGTTGTTACATACTTAAGGTAACCTCTGGTCGACACTGTGTAAGCTTTCCGTTTCTATAAAACTAATTACACTTTTTAGTTGAAAAAATATTTTAATAATTAATGTTCTTAGTTTTAGTTCCGGTTTTTTGATAAGTAACAGTTTGAAGTATTTTATTTAACGATTTGAAGTTTAAATATAAACTTAGATGTAGTATACATATTTACCTTCAAAGAAAATCTCCACTTTTCATTATATAAAAAGTAAAGATTAGCAGGGCTGGGGCAAGAATAAAACAAAATAAGTCATATCGCCAAGTTCCGTAAGTAAAAAAGTACCTTTTTAAAGCTTAGTAATAAAATTTTACATGTTGCACCTGCATAACAATAATTTGAAACGATTCTTTCTGGTAAAACCTATAAAAAGTATTTGCTAAATAATTTATTTTTTAAAATAACTGACCTAGAAACTGTAATTGTCATTTTCAAAAGTTAAGTGAATAAGTTGCAAAAAATCAAACAAAAAGTGTGCATGCTGTCAAAATCATTTAAGGATTATAAAAACATGCAGTAATAGAACTCGAACTGAGGAGACTGTGTGTATGTGTGTTGGTGGTGGATGGGGATGTTTGTGTGTATATATGAATGTTTGTGTGCATTAGCAAACTTGTGCATTTTTTTAAATGATAATTTAAAATAAAAAACACCGTTTAGCATTTGAAATATACGCGTTCACGTGGTCTTGGGAGACAATACTTTTATTCAAAAATTAGAATAACCCGAAAAAATTAAATAACTTGATAATAAATGTAATGAGCTTGTTGAAATTACTAAAAGAGTGGGAAAAAAAATCACAATTAAGTAAAAACGAAAAACTTCTGCTCATAAAACAGGTCCGAACTGTAGCTTCATTAGATTTAAATGTTTTGAAGTTATAAACAAAAAAAACAGACTATATTTATTAAATATATTTATTTTAATAGCAAGCAAATAAATGCAACTCTCCCTTTTGTTTGGAGTTAAGACCGCGTATATAAAAGCTGAGCAGAGCTAACAGTTTTTGGTACTATTATAGATTGTTCGATAACAAAGGTTAGTAATAACGCATATTAGTTTATTCTTACTTGCCGAATAAACGGGGGATGGGGGAGTGAAAGCTATATTAAGGAGGAGGGGTCCTGATAAACGGGAAGGTCAAAGTTTTACTAAAGTGAACAACGAAAAGAACAATTTTTCTATGAACAGATTGTCTCAACATCTTGAGTGTCTTCAGTAAATAAAATTAACACTAATTAAAGTAATATTGCAGTTACACGACCTTAAATAAATTTACATTTAATTCTCGTTTGAGGAGACTTTAAAAAAATATTAAAATTTTTATTATTATAAACATTATTATTAATACAAATATTTATTTCTATAAATGATAATAATAACTTTTATAATAAATGTATAAACTATTATTATAAATATTTATTGTTAACATTTGCATAATTATTTTCTTCAATACTCCCGTTATTTTTAAAAGCAAAAAATAAGTTGCTTTTGAACATCAATGATGGAGAGACTGATGTTTTAACGTTTTGACGTAATGAATTAGTTGGCAATTAACGAGAAAAAAAGTTTTTAATAAAGTAAAAATATTATTATATTATTTAAAAATTTTTATTATATTATTATATTATTTAAAAGAGATTTACATTCTTTTTAATACAAAATTATTAAGATAATTTTAGGCCTCATGCGGCCTCATAGAATGTTATCATTTTTTTTCATTCAACGTTCATTAGCGTAGACCAATTTACCCAAAGAAATATGAAATAAGATTACGAGATTAATAGATAGATTAATAAGAATAGATTAGTATAAAGATAGATTAATAAGAAGTAAGAAATAAACATTTTTATGTTTAAGATTCTTATAATTTTTGTTTATGTTTAATATTTTTATGATTCTTGACCCAAATGCAAAAATTTAAAAGAATAAATTTAAATTTGAAATAGGTTTTACCAAAAAAAGACTGAAATTTTTCAGAGAAAAAAAAATTGAAACCGTTAAAAGAACTTTAAAGATATTTGACTATCAAAAAAGTATAAATGTGCAAAATAACTCTTGTTTTTAGGTATGCTTATTTATTTACTTTTTTGGTTTTTGTTTCGGTGCCCCAACAAACTTGCGTTAGAGCATTTAACTTATAGAAGTTAATGCCTACTTTTATACCGATTATAAAAAATATACCCTGAGCTCGTTTCGAAGCCTAGATTTCTTGCTTCTAAAGCATGCGCCCTGACCGCCGCGCCATGGCAGCTTATAAAGAAACTGCTTCCAAAAAAAGGTAATAAGTAAATTTAAAAATTGAAAATCATTTTTTAATTTTTCAAATTGATTTTTGTGATCATTTAAATGAATAGCCAAAAATGTAGATTTATAAAATAATGAAAGATAATAAAATTTATTCAGTTCTTAGGATTCTAGATTATTTAATTCAGAATCAGTTCAAAAGAAAAGGTTCATATTGAACTATATTTAATATGATTACTCATATTAAATATAGTTCTTAAAAATTGACGTTTAAGGGTAATTTCTTACATATCATGTAACACAGTATTCTCTACAAAGAAGTTAAAAGGAGTAAATGCTTTTGTAATCAATCAAACATTTTAGAAGATTGTTAGGGGAGTCTAGATAATTACTGGGCCAGTATGGTTGAAGTCATTAAAATTATTATTTCTGATAAGGGTCATTCTTATATGTAATGTTACAAAAATTGTAATATCATAAGAATTCTCAAAGCTTTAATCAGTATATCATCTGATTGAGTTTAGAATCTTAATGTAACTTGCAAAAAATTAATTTTATTAATTTATTTTTATGAAATTATGGCTCATTTTAAACTTGCTACAATACTGCGTATTGTGACAAGGTGATAAAATTATTGATAAAATTATTATTATTTTTTAATTATTTAAGTGCCCCAAGAAGACCTAACGGTCTTGTCACTAAGTACCTCGGAAGTGCATTTAACCAGGAAGTTCACGCCTCCTTCCTTACCGTGACGCAAAAATATGTCCAGAGCTCGATTCGAAACTGAATCTCCTGCTTATAAAGCAAGCGCTGTAACCATTGCGCCACGGCCGTATATTGCGGTTTTATCACACAGAACCCAGGAGGACCCATTACGGTCTTAACACAAAGAACCCAATTTTTCTTTTGACTTATTTTTCAGCATTGGAACACCCAGTAATACTATGCCTAATTATTGTAAAGAATTTTAATTTACTTTATAATAGATAGTCATGTAAATTAATGATTGGTAGTTCCTAATACCACATCAAGTTGGAACTCGCGTTAGTTCAAATATCTAGCTAACTAAAATCTTGTCAAGTGAATCCATTAACTTGCTATCACAATCTTGTTAAGTGAATCCATTAATTTTCTATCCTAATTAACATTAGCAAGATTCGAAAGTTTCTAGGAGGATCTTGGTAATAATTGTCTTCACAAATTTTATATTGTTCTTTATCAATTTAAGGTAAAAAAAAGTCAAGAATGTCAAATGTTTATGAGACCAAAATGAAACTTTATATTACCCCAAACAGAAAATAAAATTTATCCATTAAAATAAAAAAATATTAAATTTTAAAACCAATTTATAATTTAACTGCATGCTATAGTGTAGCTCAAATTGACTTTAGCTGAATCTTCAGACGTAGCACAAAGTTTAACTCCTTGCAGCACCTTTTTTTTGGCGAAGCGTTCAAGAAAACATAAAAGTACCTAGATTCAGACTAGTAGTTACAAGATTCTGACTATTAAAATATCTTTAAATTTATTAGTATATTCAGACTCTCTGTAAACAAATTTAAAAGGTTTTTTCATAATGGCCAGTTTTTTTTTTTTTAATCTTTCATTACTACCAATAAACTTTTTTAAATATGCACCAATCTAAGAGTCTCTGAGAAACATTGTAATAGGAGAGTTAACAAAAAAAATCTCTTCTCTAAGATTTTTTTTAGTTACAGGACAAGTTTTGTAGTGAAGAATCATAAAATCCAGAGTCCTAAGAAAATCTTATGGATCCATAATCCTATGAACTGAACAATTTATGAAATTGTTCAAATGAATCCTAAGAACTGAAAAACTTATG